TTGTAGGTTTTTACAATAGTCTCCGCTTTGTAGCGCACACTTCTTACCACCCAGCTATGGCGGCCGCCTATTAAAGAGTCAGACACCAATGCATTGCCAATTATTTTAATTGAAGATTTAGGTTCAAATTGGTCAGACAAAGAGTTTCCTCCTTCCATATAAAATATCTTCTTTTTACCTCATTGATAAAAATCACAACAAAGGAAAAATTAAATTTTAAAGCTTTCATTTCGTTTAAATATACTTTATGGCTAACTTTACTCTAATGAATATTTTTCTTTAATAAAATAGAGTTGCTTAACTAACGAAACGATGCCATTAGGTTTTCCTAAAATGAACAAATAAACCTCAACCAAATTTATTTGCTTCGTTTCGGCATCATGTTAGCGTAACAAAAGGCAACTGTAATGTTGACTCATCGTTGACAGTAATGTTAGAATGGTCTCCTGTTGTGATATTAACAGCACAATTCTATTTAAACGCTTAACATTATCTGTTAACGATTTAACATTGACTAACACTGATTATAGAAATTATATGAAATTTGCGTTGATAACTGCTTGAACGATAACATTTCTAAATGTTTCAACGGAAACTATAGTTTATATCCATAGTATAGTATATATGCTTGAACGATAACATTTCTAAATGTTTCAACGGAAACTATAGTATATATCCATAGTGTAGTATATATCTATAGTTTCCGTTGAAACATTTAGAAATGTTATCGTTCAAGCAGTTATCAACGCAAATTTAATTTTTTTTTAAATTTTTTCTCAATTTTCTTCGCATTTTTTTTTGAAAGGACGCATTATTGAACCATTAGCCTTTAAATCCTGCTCACTTATTCCAGTGAAAAAAAAAATTTAATGTTGTTAATCCCCTAATGGAATGGTTTATTTATGAATGACCTCTACCTACTTCCAGCCATCAAAGCTTTATGTAAACTCACCCCTAACCAACGAGCTCTCTACTCTGCTCTTAAAATAATTTTTGAAAACTTAAATTCAATACGTAATTCTTAATAATTTTATTTTTAAATATTTCTTATTGAGAATTCAACGTTTGCATGTAGTTGTTTTTCTTTGTTCTATACTAGTGCTTTCAACATTTTCTAACGACTAATTTTTAAATTTTTTTTTTTCGCAACAACAATTTTTAAAGCATTTGTATTTTGAGTTGAGTTTTTATAGTGTTTGTGTGTGTGTGTGTGTGTGTGTTGGTTAAGTTCACTTTTTGTTTTTATTCTTTAATGATTTTTTTTTTCTTCAAACCGCTTAAAATTCTATTGTTGGTGCTTTATTCTTACACTGAGAGCAATTGTTTTTTTACTCTTCGAAAAAACGGTATTTTACAAAATTATTGATAAATACAGTTAAAGTTACACCAATCAATCTAATTTAAGTCAATAAAGTATATATTTAAGAGAAAGAGAAAATAATTTAGTGCAAAGGAAAAGCTTTTTTATAAAGTAAAAATATTTTTCATTCAAAAATTAGTTGTATATTTAAAATTAATAAAAAAATATGTATGAAACCACTGAAAGCGATTTGTGCATATTTGAGGTTAGTTTGTAATGGTGGGCTGTTAAAGTTGTACAAAATCTAAAAATGGAATAAAATTGATAAAAGTTGAGAGGCTGTGAAATATCTGAAAATTATGAACGACTTTGTGTGGCGAAAATAAGTGTAATTTACAAAATGCCATTTTTATATAAATAAATTTTATCATCTACTCGTTTTTGTAAACGAATTGACAGAAGGGCCGATCGCAAGTGAGAGAATAAAAGGCGGATTTCAATGATTTTTCCAACTGCTGGGCAATTTACTCCAAAACTAGCTAATCGGCTTTCAGAAAAATCCTTTGACACTAAACACGCCGAGACGTTAGCCATCCCTCATATATACTACTCGAAATCTTAAATGCAATGCTCGCCCGTTACGGTCTTTTTGTATAACGAGAAATACAAATTAAGATAGAATTTTGGCAAGGGTAGTCATTTCTTGGCAAAAAAATGCAACTGAGGAGTGGAGCTTGGAAAAAAATATGTATATTTTAATGAAATTCGTAAAGGTAAAACCAGGCTCGGTAAATGATATTCTACCCAGATTTATAGCGTATTTATTTTGCCAAACTGTTTTCATCGCAAGCACTACTAAATTTCAAAAACGCTGCTGGTTTGCAGGTAAATGACTTCATTTAATTTTATACAAGCAAGCATGGGATTAAATAATGCCCAAAATAATTGTTTTTTTACCTTTTTTTGTTTAAATTTATTTACTTAATGAAAAATGTTGGTTTATTAAAAATACCCATATTTTGAATTATTCGCATTTCTCTTGCTTTTTGGATTTGCTGACTCAATAAATGAGATTTTCAATATAAATAGATTTTTTTACATTCATGTTCTTCAGAATTTATAACACTTTTTGAACTGAAAATATGATTTTCACCAAATTTTTTATAAATCACCAATGATTTATTTATTTGGAAAGTATATTTGTAGTTATATATATTCTTCATTGTATGTATGCGTGTGCTTCCCCTGCTATTAATACATATATGAATTATTTAAGCAGCTACTTAAAGTTGTAACTTTCAATCAATTCAACGCTTTAGTTATTACTAATCATATTTAAATGTGTATAACAATATAAATTTATCATTTTAAAAACTATTTCTATATGATAAAAATTCATATGCTCTCATATATTATTTACTATTAACTACTAAACACCAAATAATTTCATAATAATTTAAAACGTATTTTAAATTTTTGATTTTATGATTTTTTTTCCAGAAATCAGAAGAAGGATGGAAATGAGAGTGAATTAGTTTTTGAAACATTTTTTTTTTTAAATAATATTATTATGTAACTAATATTGTCATATAAAAGCTAGAAATATTCGCACAAAATGCTATAAGAGCCATAGAAAATGAAAGGTTACCAAAAAAAAAAAGAAAAATATTATGAGGAAATTTAAAATGGTAAAAAAAAAAAAATATCTCATATAAATCTTTGAGGGGCTTAAAAAAATTGACAGTCATAGTTTCTCTCCCAAAAATAGTAGTAGACATTTAGGAAATGATAAAAAGCATTATATGCATATTTTTGCTACTTCGAGTATGAATGACACCTCCATTATTATAATTTTTAGACATTTTTCATTTGCCTTAATATTTTATATAATTTATTAATTTTTTTTCTGCATTTTTTCTCCGCACTACTTACATTAAAAATATGTACTATGCATGTATGTATGTATGTTGGTTTGTAGTATTATTTTGTATAAGAATGTTTAGTGTTCGTAATCTTATATTTGACGTTGGTATAGCGTTTGTTAAAAAAGAATTATAAAAGTATAAAAATATAGTATGAAAGATAGATTTTAGAAAAAAGTTTTTGACTTTTTTTATAGCTACGCACAATTATTTAAAGAAATACACACTTTTTGTAGTTAATTTGTTTGATTTGAAACACAAATCTACTTTTTAATTTATTTTAAATTTAAAATAAATTTTATATTTAATAAACACAAAGTAATTTCCATGAAAAGCTACTACTCAAAAGAAAATAAGAAAAATTATAATTTTACTGTTTCACACATTTAAATAACATTAACTATTTAAGCAATTAAATTTAAAAATAAATTGGTAGTATAAAACAAAAATATTAAATAAATAATAATTTTTCTACACTTCGAATTTTAATGGAAAAATTACTTTCGGGTTTCACGTCACTAGTGTAAGCACCAGGTCTTAATCGTGAATCATTTATGCAAACGTCCCGAGCAACACCGAAGAATCACAAAAGGTTTTAATAACTCACTTTTTAGTGGAGCTTGACGATATTAAATCTTAAATGGACAGGGGGAAAAATATGGTTACCTAAAATAAAATAAAGTAAAATATAATAAAATAAAAAAAAAAAATAAAAAATATACAAAATATATAAAACAAAAAAAATAATATAGAATAAAATAAAATAACTAATATAAAAAAATATAAAAATATAAAGGAAAATAAAATAAAATAAAATAAAATAAAATAAAATAAAATAAAATAAAATAAAATAAAATAAAATAAAATAAAATAAAATAAAACAAAATAAAATAATATAAAATTTATTAAAATAAAATAAAATAAAAAAGTAAATAAAATAATAATATCATAAAAAAAAATAAAAAAAAAATAAAGTAAAGCAAAATGAACTAAAAAAATAAAAAATAAATAAAATAAATTAAAATAAACTAAAATTAAAAGAAAAAATTAAATAAAATAACATTAAATAATACTAATATAAAATAAAATTAAATTAATATAAAAGTAAAACAAAATAAATTAAAAATAATATTAGTGTAAAATAAAATAAAATAAAGTAGAATTAAAAAAAAAATATAATAAAATAAATTAAAATAAAATGGAATTAAATTAAAATGGAGTAAAAAAAAACAATTTAGAAAATATTGCAATAATTTAGCAATTAAAAAAAATATATAAAACAAATTAATAACATATATTTGTATAAAGAATAATAAATTTAAATTAATTTAAATAATTTATATTACATAAAACAAGTTTATTACAAAGAAAGTTAAATAAAATTGAATACTAGAGATTAAAAGAAACTAAATAAAAAAAGAATAAAATAAAAATTTAAAAACATTATTGACTGCTCCTCAGAATTTTGTGGGTTTTAAAACGGGATTGAGTGTCTTAGAAGCGAAATAGCAAGGAAACTTCCACCTATTGCTAAATAGCAGCACCGTCTTGAGTTAAAAGGAAAATAGACTTTCTGTGAATCAATCGATAGTTACAATCAAATGTCTTTGAGGCTTTTCCAGATTACCTTAAAGCTCGACACAAGCACACAAGGAGTCCCTATTCGTTAGTGCCCTGAGCGCATTCGTTAATTTCAATAAAAATTTAAAATCAAAAAACGGCCAAATTATATAAAAAAAAATTTGGAATATAAAAGTTATCAAAAGTAAGTCGAAAAAGTGAATTTAAATGTAAAAAAGCAACAAAGCAACTAAATTATCACATTTCAGCTAAATATCATTATAATGTATTAATACAGTGTAATATCTGTTTATCTACGTCTACGGCTTCGTCTGACTTTGTGATTTTCTACCAAATACCTTGTGATTGGCTTGAGCCACTCTCGTGTTTCTTTTTTGCATATTTCTATAATACTGAACATAAATTATTGTTTTCAACACTAAAATATTATTTGTATAGACATAAATAGTTATATAAATACGCACACAAAGAAAAGATTTGTTGGCTTTCACTTTCTTTTTTTATTATTTTTGTTTTTTTCTTTCTTTTCTTCGCCGTTTAGGCAAAGAATTTTAAGTGAATAGCCAAGTCGTAGAAGAATTTTGCACATAAAATAAATCTAGAATTAACTTGAGTTCTTTAGCTAAGTTCTGTTGAGGATTTTATACCGGAGTTTTGGGTAATTTCCGTCTGGTTGGCGAAGCTGGTGATTTGTCTGCTGTTGTTTCGGGGTCTGTTGTTTTTGTTTTAGTGTGTTTTTTTTTTTTTTTGGTTTTAGTTTTTTATTGTGTAGAAATTTTGTATATTTTCGTTTTATTGTTGTTAGGTGTTTTTTTTTTTTTATAAATATTATAACAAAATTGAGAAATGTGTGAAAAAATATGAAAATATTAAATTTTAAAAAGTAGAAAAGAAAAAAGAGAAAAAATCACATTTTTAATTTTAAAAATATCAATTTCAATATATTTTGTGTGCCATTTACACACTCACGTGTGTGAAATATAATATTGTACTTAAGATTATATAAAATAAGATTGGCATGCCTTTCACTTACCCGCAATCAAGCCTAGTCCCACAGGACCGTCACCTGAACGTCGCGGACCACTTTGATTGCCACTATTGCCTGGTGGTAGATTCTCATCGAATAGATCGCACATACGAAAGTCAGTTGCATGCTCAACGAGTAGCTCGACAATGTCTCCAGTGCGATCCATAATTGAGCAGACTTCTTCGAAACTGCGATCAATCAGTGACATGGAATTCCACTCGAGTATCTGTTCATAAAAAAATTAGATGACGATCATTTACCCTATTTGAGTGAATATAAATGGGGAGGGAGGGAGTATAAATGGATGGAAATCAGAATGAAAATCTTCTTAAAAAAATGATTAGACGTTCGGAGTCACAACTGAAGGCTCTCCATTTCTAAATCGTCTCATGCAACATTGAGCAACAACATGTTGAGCTTAGGAAGCTGGTAACGCAAAGAGTAAGAGGTCAGCGACCAAGCCGGTATGCAAATCAAATACCGACAGAACAGTTAATCACCTAGACAGAATTCGAAGATCATCAGACTTAATGGGTTTTCAGACTTTATTTTCTTAAGCTAAGGTTGTTACATCTGTAGAATAATTAATGATTTGTACACTCAGAAATTCCCGAAAGACACCAATTCATACAAAGCAATAGAGATGGTAATATCTGAAAGGGAAGAATGTAGCAACAGCTTGATGGATTGTTCAAACCTCAATGAAAGAGTTGGAGGTGGTGTTTTATCAGAAGAGCCACTTTTTGAACCCTTTTTCAGTCTACTAGACACCCGATATCCAGTATATTTAAGGCTGAGATGCATCGTTTGGGTTTCAGGTCAAAAGGACATAAAAGGCAATTGTTAGCCAGTCGAGCTTGTCAGTCGAGTTACGGCAAAAAAGCTTTAATTATTCACCGCTTTATGGGATGACTTTCGGCGTGGCTCTGATTTATTTTTAAGAGGGTTATGACAGAGCTAGGTTTCTATATCATCTACGATGAACATGTCATGTTCTTTTTGTTCAGTATCGATTGGAATTTCTTCATGGAAAGACTTGCGCCTGAAGAATGTTTACAAATCGTTCAACTTTCTTACTTACACGCTCACCCATCCTGAGACCCAGAATTCATTAATGAATAGATCACATCCAGCACGCAGCGAAGAAAATGGAGGCTGTAGCTGAGGGTATACACGAAGACCATAGAGAGTCGAATTGGTGCTGTTCGCAGCAACTCTGACTGACGTATGAAATGACATTTGCGTCGAGATCTCAAATTAAAACCATATGAAATACAGTCTGTGCAAAAAATGAAGCCAATCTACTTTCTGAAGCTACATCGCTTCGCTCTATGGACTCTTGAGGCATGTAAACTAGCAAAATTGCCGCATTTGGGACGAAGAGCAAACTGAACAGATTCAAGGGCAGCCATTTCACTTAGAAAATACAACAGTTTGGTGTGGTTTGTGAGCCGGTGGAATCATCGGTCCATGTTTCTTCAAAAATGATGCCGGACCATTATCGCGCCAAAAGAACCGACTAATCGATGGCCGAATTTGCCATTTGGTTCCAACAAGACGGCAGCACTGCCCACTCATCGCATCAATCAATGGATTTATTGAGAGAACATTTCGGTGAGCGTCGTGTGATATCACATCGTTAGACTCTTTCGTGTGGGGATATCTAAGGTTTATGCGGACAATCTGGTTTCGTTTCGGTCCTTGGCGCAAAACATCATGCGAGTCATTTGCCAGTTACAAGTCGAAATGCTCGAACAAAGTCATCGAGAATTGTACTCAACGGATGGACCATCTGAGACGTAGCTGCTGTCAACGATTGAAAGAGATAATAAACTTTCACCATTAAATTTCAATTTTATGTTTTTTTTGTTGGTTTGCACTTTTTAAAGAAATATAACCCAAAATACCCACGCATTCGTTGTGCTTAATCCCACTCAGTGGAACCAAGGAAGCATGTGGCAAATCATACTACACACGGTCCACTTAAAAACTACTTAACTCTGTGATCATATGCGGTTAACGGTTGCGAATATTTTATTAAAATAATATTTTAAAACGATGATGATGATGAAAGAAATAAGAAAAATAAAAATATGAAAAACCTGTATGCCTAATAAAAATTGCCTTCCCTTCGGTATAAGAGGAATTGTGAATTGCAAGAACAACTTCTCAGTCGCGAGTGTCGCACTAGACACAATACGGCTTTATTGTTATTATTATTATATTATTATTATGAATAAAGTATGTATGCAAGTAGGTTGTCTTGTCGCATGGCGCTGAGCTTCGCCACTATTCAGTGAAATGCCAACGCTTAGAAATTAAGTTCGTTGGGGAAGCATTAAAAAGTGCGCTCGTAAAAAAATTATGACCACTAAAAATTCACTAACCGAGAGGAAATCCTTCATATTCATACTTTTACATGTTGGAGGATTCAATTGTAAGAGCATAAAGAAAGGAAGTGCACAGGAGAGGAAGCTGGGAGAAAAGACGCTTAACACAAACAAGAAAAGCGTTTAAACTTCCATGGCTTAAAAGCAGTCGTGTGGATGACGGAGAAGAAAAGCGACATGAAAAAACTCTTAACTCAATTGCGCTCTCTGGAATATGAGAAGAGATAAATAATGCAAACACAAAGAAGAAAATTCACGAAAAATAAAATAAATGAAAGATATTGAAAAAGTATTAAATGACAAAAATATAAGCAAATAATAATAATTTCCGCAAAAAAGGCACTCAAAATGGCACTCAACAGTGGTGGCGATTAAAAAGTATCATGCAAATAAAATAAAATAATTTGCCGCAAAACTAAGTATTTAAATGATTTTCACTAACGACGGGTAACGCCATTGAATCCGTGTTGGCGTGCCCACCATATAATGGTTTACTCACAAACACAAAGTGACTGCACGCTAGCGCTGCATGAATACGAGGGTTGCTTTGTTTTTCGGGATCAGAGAACAGAAAAAAAAAACATATTTTAATCATCAAAATCGCTTTATTGGTTTTCAAAATATTTTCCATTAAGATTTAGACACTTTTGTCTGTGTTTGAACCAATTCTCGAACCACTTTTGCACCTCTGATTGAGGTTTTCTCCGAAAAAGGCCTAGTGACTGCATCAACCGCCACTTCAGGTGGCGAAACCTCACAGTTTATTTCTTACGTGGGGGAATAAAAAGAAGTAAGTCGATGCCAAGTCAGGACTACACAGTGGCTGACTCATCGAAATTGATGTTTTGAGCGCTCTAAAAGGCCTTTGTTTCAGTGCATCGTCTCCTGTGGTTGGGATTCCTGATTTCTCGAGCTACAGTTGGCTGTTCACCCTTTAGAATTTATTGTATTCCTTTGCTCAAGCGCTACGGTGGCAACATATTCAGTTTTTTCCAAAAAAACTCTCAACAATTTCATTGGACGAACAGCTTTTCTTGCACTCGGCTGATATTTAAAAAGTCGATCTCTGATTGCTTTCGGTCTTATACGCGCAAATCCACGATTAAACAGCTGTCACAATGTCATAGTCGTGTTTCACGTCAGATAACCTCGATCTTTTTTTACACATTCCTCTAGACCAATCGACCCGAACCTTTTTGGAGCGAGTCCAATGTGAACAAATTTCTCTTACAGTTAAAGCTTTCTGTAATATTGAAGACATGCTGTTCGCACAAATACCTATAGTTGACTCAATCTCATGATGGGTCAAACGAGGACTTGGAATATCTTTTTGCGTACAGCAAGAATAGTTTCCGGAACAACAACTGGTTTTCGACAACCTTATTGGTTGGTTGATCCACGTCGAAAGTTGTAAAAATAAAGCACTTGGTCGGGCCGAAATTTATATTCGCTGTAAAACACGACGGTCGGAACCGCTGCCGCAATAGCCAAGTGGTAAGCATTACGTGCTGACATTCGGAAGGCTAGCAATCGAGCCCTTCACCTTCGCCCAACATCTAGAAAATAATTTTTTTTTAATTGTGGCCGCACTCGACAGGGAATGCCAAGCCCCTCGGGTGTATTTCTAAACTGAAACAAAGGCTACTTTCTATTCGGGTCTCTCTTCGATGTTAGAGCCCAGCTGTAAGTACCAAGTCCAACGACTTTATTCTACACCTCTGCTGTGTCTTCATTCGTTGAATTAAATCTTTGTCAACAGAAATAGCGCTCGTGCGCCAAAACCTGCTGAGTATGTATAACCTCAAAACTACCGAGCTTTACGTTAAAATATACAATTGCTAGGTCCCGAAATATAAAGCGCAAGCCCTCGTATTTCACACATGCCCACAGGCTTTTGATAGAGCGCTTGCTCTTTTTGTTTTCAACACTTTGTGGCTTAAAGAAAGGAATAAAAAGGGAAACAAGCTAAATGAATTACCTTATCGCCTTGTTGTAGTCCATTCTTTTCCGCCGGTCCGCCTGGCACCGTCCATACAATATACGCGAAGAGTCGTCCATCCGCACCGGTTTTACCGCCAACGACACGCATGCCGAAACCACGTGCTGTAAAGAGATGGGGAAACATGAATAGAGTGTGCGAAATTCAATTTGAGCTTAAAGTGTGAATAAAAGATAATACAAAGATAATACAAAGACTAGAGATCAATGATTCGCCTGAAGAAAAAAGTTTGTGAAGATATTTTACATCGGCACAACAAATCTCTGCTGGGATGAATAAAAATACACAGAACAGGGGATACCAGCTCGTTTTATTTCATCTAGTAGTAAAATGAAGAAGTCACATGCAAAGGAGTCACCTTGACTGAAACCTCGATTGTCATCGAACAGCTTGGAGAGCTCCTTCCCGATACGACCGGGCAATGAAACAGCTCACACGTAAGTGAGATGGCAATGGTCATATAATACTGGGTGTTATTAACAGGACCACGTTCTAAGATAACTAAAAATCGATTTCTTTGGAGTTATGCAAGGTTTGTAAGGTGTTTCTTCAAAGAAAACCGTCCTTGTACCAGTTGTGGGTGAAACTTTTGCCCTGTGCGGACGAAAGATCTGTAAAGCTCTGCTAGGAAGCCACTACCAAAGTGGGGGATCTATGGAAAGGACCAATAAAGCAGCGATTCCCTGGAATGAGGAGCGAGACCGAGTATATAACCTGCAGCTTCTCCTACTTGGCACCGAAGAGCTACTCGCCAAAGACTGGATAGTAGTCCAGGTAGGCAAGGTTAAGGAGAAGCAACGTAGCGTGAAATTCTCATCCGGGATGCTTTTATCCCAACTTTGCGTAAAGTAATATGTTATGGCTTTTACTCCATCAAAATATAAGTCTACAAGAAAGATGATCATTAAACCAACGTCTTGAGAGAATCCAACCGACGGAGGAGACTGCTCCTATTCTAATGATACCTCAGCAGAGAAAAGAGAAAATTACAGTACTGATCGCCAGCGGAGCATCCCAAACCCTTGGGCAGTACCAACAGTGAACCTAGAAACTCTGGTTCATCGATGGGAGCTGTTGACAAGTTTGATTCCAAAAGCGATAAACGCTTGGTGCCAAGCTATGTCGGCGCGATATTCAATCGGTGTCCATGTATTGAGGAGGAAGACCAACTTTTGCTTCTGAAACAGTGGTTAGGGATACGAATGCAGTAATCACAACCTTTCTCGAGGAGGACAAGCCATGCATGCACCCTGTCAGCCCTTCACAGACATGTTTGAACAGCTCTACCGGTAGACCGTCTGCTATAGTCGCCTAGTTGTTCTTTAGGCGTGCAATCGGTATTGGAACCTCGACATAGTCGGGTAATGGAACGTCTTTTTACCCATCTTCGTGTGTTTCGTTTTCACCGCTATTCAGCAGGCTGGAGAACTGTTCCCCCCACAAATTCAATAAACACTGGACGTCGGTTACTAAATCACCACTTTGTGTCCTACAAGAGACTACTTCGGTGTTGAAACTTTTCGAAACTTGTCTTATCTTTTCGTAGAGTTTTTGGGGCACTACCCTTGTCGGCCAGCTTCTCAAGCTCTTTCTTTTATGTCTGCAAATGCGTCTTACTTCCCACTTCAGTTCTCGATATCTATTACATCCCGCACGTGGAGTGGTCGATCGCAAGATTGCGAGGTAGGTGGTCTATTTTCTCTGCACCGTGACTCGGTAGTCCATTTTGTACCAGCTGATTTTGCGACCTTTCCGAAATTCAATAGTTTCGTTCGCAGCTACGTACAGCTACGGTAATTTCAAATGTCGTTTCCCAGTTCACTTACATCGAGTTGGGGACGAGTGCTCTCAGAGAGCAAGAGTGCAAATCGAGTAAAAAATCGTTCGTCAGTCTGTTGTGATTATAGTCTTTTGACCTCGAGCTTTCCTTGTGTTTGTTGACCGACATTCTTTGGTGCACAGCGGCGGGTGCATTTCTTTTCTGCTACCAAATAGTGGTCCGAGCCGATGATGGGTCCTCGGAGCGTACGTACGGCAAATACACTGGATATATGTCGTTCGTCTACCACAACGTGATCGGTCTGGTTGTGTGTTTCTTGAGATGAGACGAATTGCAAGGGGAAAGAAAAAAAAAGATCGCTCACTACGCCATCTTCTCTTTCAGTATCTTTATTAACATCTCGTCGATAAGTGCTTTCTTACTACGCACATCGCTGATAACCCTTTTGCTAATCACCTCATCTTCTTCTATACACAAACAGTTCTATTTTTTCTTGCTGAATGTTTAGTGGCCTAATAAAAAGGCTTTTGGAAATCGGAGCATTTGATTTCAATTTCAATTTGTCCACTTAGTTTTTTGTGTGTGTGATTCTTTCGCATTATCTTAATTCGCTTTTTTGCTTTGACTTTTACTGTTCGTTTCCTTTTGTGTTTAGTTTGTTTTTTTCCCAACATCCTTAGCATGTTGTCGATAAAACATCCATTATCCTTTCATCGTTTCATCGTTGTGTGGTGCTCCCATTTTTATTGCTTGTATTTTTTATTGTCCCTCTTCTTGTCTTGCGGTCGCTCCTTATCGATTGCATTTGTATGCTCATAGATATTTATTGGAATTTAACTCGCATTTTATTATTTGCCATTTTCTTATGCGTTTCTTTTCCTTAGAATTCACTTCAATATGGACTTTATTTGTGTTTGACTAAGTTTTTTTCTATGGAGACTTCTTCTCTTTCTTCATTCGATTTCATTCGATTTCTCTTTACGTATATTTGCTTGTTGATTTGGTAGTAAAAGCGATGATGGTAATTTGTTTTCAAAGCGAAAGATCAGAGTATTGGTTCGTGTGCATGTGGGTGCGTTCTTCATGTTCGACTTCATTGATTGTCCATTTGAGTATGCACTCGTATTTGTACAGCATCGATTTGGAGTGACATTTTTGGCGTTCACTTTGAGTGAGTTTTAGTTCGAGGAAATGTGAAACAGTTCAGTTGCTGTCGTTTGTCATTTTTGGAATGGAATTTTTGAATTTTTATTGAATTTTACTGATTCCTAAATTTACAACTTTTCATGTTTTTTAAACACCTCCACATTTAACCCCACATTTAACGCCACTTTTAACCCAACATCATGTAAAGACGAATTGATTTAGATATTTTTACCTGGTCTTTAAATTGGCCGATAATTTACTTGTCCACTCTACGGTATCGCAAATGCGTCAAACCGGATTGTTCACCCCAAGTCGGTCACACCTGAACCATTCGATCCATTATTTCAAACAATCATTAAGCAACTAGACAAGCTACTCTCGTTAAGGAGGTTGTATTCTGGAAGGTGAAATTTATGGCTCTGCACTAAAAATATCTTCTACATCATTCCTAAGCTGCCCAGACTTCATGAAAAATATCAAAGTAATACTTCCGGATAGGAAGCAATGTAGCAAGCAGTTGGAGACTAGATTAATTGCTATACCGATAAGCTAAAGCCAAAAATAATCAAATCAGTTTTGTAATAGTAAAATTACTCGTCTACCGGATTCTGCAAAGGTTTTGCCATGGAAACTGACGGCAATGCATAAAATGTTAAATTTTACCTACATCTCTACAGAAAGCATTAACAGCTCTAAAATATTGGTCAAGTAAAAAGTTTGTTCAATTCGGTTTCTGTTGATCAAAGGTGGCCTCTTCTGGATGAGTGCTGCCTTCAAGCGGTCCATTTGTTGGCAATAGAGGGCTGAATTGAGCGTTTGGCCATAGGGGAGCAGCACGTAGTAGATGATTCCTTGCCAATCCCACCAAACACACAGCAAAACCAACCTTCCTGGCCGTCAATCCGCTTCACCGATCTTCGACCACGACCGTTTGCACTCGATGTTGTCGTAAGTGACCCATTTTTAATCGCCAGTCACAATCCGCCTCAGAGACTGGTCGATTTTGTTGCGATTCAGCCGCGATCCGCAGATGGAAATTCGGTCCATCTTCGGATTTCTTGCGTTAGTTTGTGTGGCACCCAAACATCAATGCAACGTCGCGTCACGGCATTCGACATTTTTCGTCATTCCAACATTATTCAAAATTAATTGTTTCTCTGATCCTGTTGAGTGCTCACGAGCAAGTTGATTAAAAAATCATTCGGCTTGTAATGGTATGGCAAATCCTAGTAAGGTAATGTCCCTACTACGATCGCCATCATGAAAATGACACTATCCACTTGTCAGCCCATTGTAATACATTAGACGTAAGAGTCTTAGTTGATGCTATGTGCATAGAATAATGAGACATGAGATGAATGGAAGTCCAAAGAGCTAATCTCCCTAAAATGAAACGAAGTCTCTTCCTCTTTCGAGTAGAAGAGAAAGGGTCATTACTAAAAGATAGAAAGCTTCAGTGGGTTCACTTCGACTGAGTATGTCGTTCGCTGAAGCCTCATCGCGGCGCCGGTTGATCATAAGGGTGACTCGGCTGACCGTCAGCCTTGAGGTAAACGGCTCGCTATATAAATATGCCTGGTTCGGCCCATTAATTGTAAAAGTGCCGTTGTTCCTCATAATACTAAAAGTTGACATTACCAACGTCTAGGATTGCAATGACCGTGAAAAGGACAAAAACGAGTAGGTTCTTGTGATACTAAAGCGGATTGATGAACGTCTCCAATCCGCGTGAAAGCAAAGCTCTTCTACATATCGCTGATTCGCAACCCCATCCCAACATAAGAGAGGGAAGATTTGATCAAAAGTTGCCTTATGAGTACTGTCTCCGATAGACAAATTGGACTCATCGTCTTTTAACGCTAGCGTGTGCAAAGAAAGTATATCGGTATGACAGTTGAGGCAACTCAGTCCTTGTGGGCAAAGAACCCGAAATGGGTTTAGGCTGATTGATGCCGCAGAGCCACGAAATGTGGTTGCCTGTAGAGCTATGATCCAGTACAAGAATATTTACCAAGCTGCTTGGCTCGCTCAAGTTAAATAAAAAGGGAAACCACATCAACAGATTGTGGTAGACAGACGGTTTTAGAACCTAACATCAACTCCGGTAGAAGTCACTTCTCATTAGCGTCTTGTTGTACAGTGCGGATGAAAGGTCAATGTGGGCATCTTAGAATCTTG